CCAGGCAAGTGGCCAGACCAGGAGCTTTGGGTGAAGGAGTAGCTATCAGGGTGATTGAGGAGTGGTGCTCTGTTGCCAGGCCAAACTGAGTTCAAATCCTGGCTCTGCACTTAATTCCTTGAACTTGTGTTTCCTGATCTATTAATCATAGACATTGCCCACATTATAAGGTGGTTGGGAGGATCAAATTCGATAATGCATCTGCACACAGGGAATACTTAGAACAATGTCTGTGCAGAGTAAACACTCAGTAAACTTTGGTTTCTTCTCACTCAACCTGTCTGCTGCCCTCTTCTCTTCTTGGAAGATGTTTATCTGGCCCAGAGCTGGGCAGGTTCAGAAACTCATTTTTTATCACTGCTCTTAGGGATGATCTTGTTCTGAGAGATGAATTCTGTTCATTCTTGTGACTGCATGGTAAACCCAAACTTTCCAGAAATCATGTGTGTGTGTTTTTGTGTGTCCCCCCCCCCCCCCCCCCCCGCCATAAGGAAAGTCCCTTTGATAATCTAAATGCAAACCAGAGCTGGTTGGTGAATAAAGAGCTGGGGTGACTGGAAGTGAAGGGTCAAAAAGGGTTGGTTGCGTAAGTACGTAAGCTGGGATGATCACATGTGAATCTGCACCAAGTAGGGAATTGATTTCCTTGTCTATGAAATGGGGTATGAAGAGGCATCGAAGTAGATCAAACGAAGCTGTCACCAAACTCCACTGTCTTTGAAGCTGGACCTAGGTGTTTTGCCAGTTACTATAATGGGAAACATCTGATCATTTCCAAGCGAGGAGGAAGGATGAAACCAAGGAACAGACTTCTCACTTTGTAGGTTTTCTTTTCTTTCTTTTTTAAATATATTTTTACAGAGAGGAAGGGAGGGATAGAGAGGTAGAAACATCAATCAGCTGCCTCCTGCACACCCCCTACTGGGTATGTGCCCACAATCAAGGTACATGCCCTTGTTTGGAATCGAACCTGGGACCTTTCAGTCCGCAGGACGACGCTCTATCCACTGAGCCAAACTGGTTTCAGCTGAAGGTTTTCTTGATTGTTTTGTTCTTAAACTGTTAACAACTGACATGAGCAGATGACAACATGAGGGCTCCAAGGACAAACAAGTATTGGCAGGGAAATCACTGTCCTTGTGTTTTAGGGCACGTGTGAGGTTTGATGGTGGTTTCCTGTTGCCGACACCACGTCAGACTGCCTCATTCAGCAAAAATGCGGGTTCTTGCTGTGTGTCATGGTTTCTTCTACTGCTGTATCTAATGACACACACGGAGCGCTCACCGCGTACTTTGCTGGTGTTATCTCATTTGATCTGTGAGGTGAGTGATGGTATCGCGTTACAGAGGAGCAAACTGGTGCTTAGAAGGAGGTTAAGTGATGTTTGTAAGGTCACTTGGTTAGGGTAGTAACTGAGGTAACTTGCTTTCTTCTTTTGGTAAGAGACGCTTAATGACAGGTCTGAGTACATAACCCACACTGGTCAGCCATAGCACCCTGACTTCTTAGGAATGGGGGCTGGTTTATGGTCGAGCACACAAACCCAGTAGGGCTGCCAATCAAGGCTCTTCCCGGGAGATATGAACACTGGGTTTATAAAGCTGGAATAGTCTGTGACCATGTTTCTCATTACATAGGTCCCAGAAAGAGGAAAGCCCACATGTAAAGAGAGACAAGCAGTGATGAGAGAAAGATGGTTGGTGCTGTTTCCTGTTCTAGCCCCCAAGGCTGTGGTTCATTGAGCCTGCACGCCATTGATGTAATAATAATACATCCCTTTTTTGCTACTTCAGGGGGTTTTCATTGAACCTCTGCTCTCTTATTGCTGAAAGGTCTTGAACAACAGAATCAGGACATGGGAGAGTCAAGATTCAAACCCAGGATCCAACATCTTAACTTCTCTCCAATAGCTATTTGGCTAGTCTTACACATTGCTCTCTTAAAATGTCACTTTCAACCACTTCCTCATGAGCAACACCCTATAATTTTTATAATCACTGCTCACTTTCCCGTCACCTTGCTTTTACTGAAGCTGGCTTTAGTCCCTTTCTGAGATTTGCACAATTCCCTGGGTTTGTCAGGACACATCAGAACATATCTCTCGAGCTGAGTGTTTCTGGGGTGATGGTTAATCACGCTGTTTTATGTTGATTCCTATTAGCACTGGTTTCACCAAGTGACGCATTCCATCCTTGGCCCTCCATTCTAGCCAATGGCAGAGCTCAGCTTCAGACCCAAGTCTGAAGACTCAGACCTGAGTGTTTGCTGGGACACTCCAGGCTGTGGGAGGCTGTGAGGAGTCTGCAGGCTGGGGTGCAGGTGTCCCTGGGCTCCTGACTCAGGTATCAGACCTCAGGAACCACCTACCTCTACACACTGAGTCTCTGTGAAGAGTTGTGGGTCGGGGAGACAAGTCCCCAACCTTGAGATCCAGAGTGGCTGTGCTCATGTGAGCCTGCGTGTGCGACCACAAATAGTGGTGAGGGTGGGCAGATGTTGGGGGCACAAAAAACCAGTTTGTTCTTGACCAGATTCTCTGATTCTGTTACTGGTTCACATCACTTTCCCTTTTGAGTTCTGATAAAGTCTCCAAATCTCAGCTGTGGACCAGAGAATGTAATTTGGAGCTGAAGCCAAAAAGATCTTTATATTCTAATGTTCCTGCTTCCCAAACTGACCTACCCCACCTCATCACAGAAAGCAGCTGCCTAACTGTATCCTGCCCCAAGGGGAGGTAGGGAGGGGGAGCGGCAGGCTGGTTGAGAAAGAGAAAGTCTGCAGCCCAGGAGGGGTAGAGCCTCACCCCCCTCTTCCTTTAGAGGAGGGAGAGGAGGGCGTGATGGAGAGAGGAGCCCTTCTGAGGAGGGAGGTGTTAAACTGCTCCTTCCCCCAAACACTGCCATTGGCAAGAAGGAAGTTTCTGGAGCCACTGGAGAGAGCTGGGCCCACAGAGTATAGCAAATGAGCTTTTAGAAGGTTCCGCGGTGGGGGTAGAGAACTGAGGGCCATGTCTGGAAATGTGGTATTAAAGGGAGGAGAGGATGGTGGCCATCGGGACAGCACTGGTGCGCCCCCCTCTGGTCATTCACCAAACATCCGCTCTGTGTCAGGTCAGTTTAGTGGGAGAGACACATAAATAATCCCAAATAAATGTAATTTTTAAAAAATGTTTCAATTAAAGTTGACACTCAACATTATAATAGTTTCGGGGGTACAGCCCAGTGGCCAGACGTTCGTATAACGAAGGGATTCCCCTGTGACTCAGCACCCGCCATATACAGTTATTACAACACCATCGACTACCTTTCCGCCACTCCACATCCCCGTGACTATCAATTTGTACCTCTCTATCCCCCTGTCCACCCAGCACCCCTCCCCCCCAATCTGGCAACCTTCAGTGTTTATGAGTCTACAATTAATCATAAAAGGTATTGTTATAGGGTGACGGGCAAGAGGCTGCAAAAGTACATAGGAGAAACTCTGACTAGTAGCTGTGTGTGTGTGTGTGTGTGTGTGTGTATGTGTGTGTGTATGTGTGTGTGTGCTTGTATGCATACTCACGTGTTCTGTGTTCTGGTACGTGGGAGGCTGGGGAGTGGATTCAGGGATGCTGTACAGAGGGGATGATATATGAGCTGAGTTTAAAAGGTGGTTAGGAGGTTGACGGGGGGCAAACTGAGGAAGGGCTTCCCAGGAGAATGAATGGCACAGGCAGGGCTTGCAGGCATGGAGGGCCTGGTGAAGTGCAATAATGAAGTTTCGGACCTGGGAAGTGGTGCCATGTCCGGTAGTCTTCTCCTGAAAGTGATGGAGATTCACTCAGTGTTTTCACGTGGGGAGTGATGTGCTTAGGTTTGAACTTTAAGATCACCTGGGTGGCAGAGCTGAGGAGGGGTCAGCGTGGGGGCAAGGTCACGGTGGGGAGGAGAATCCAGATGAGATTGCAGGGACACAGGCAGTGTGGATAGCGGGGAGCCGTAGGCGGAAGGCAGGAAGGTGGGTCTAATGACCGGATGTCTGGATGGCAATGAGGAGGAAGCAGGATGGTAGAGGGCAGCCAGGTTTCTGGTTTAGGTCATTGGGTGGATGGTGGTGTTCACTGTGGCAAAGAGGAGGGCAAGGGGAGATGGGAGATCTGAGGAAGGTTTCCTTTAAGCTTATTTAAAACCTGGGCCAGAGTGCATTTGGAGGCAAGAGGAAAGTGGACCCTTGAAGATGACAGATCAGAGCAGGTGGGGAAGAGGGGCTCCTGGGCAGCAGGGGAGGTTGAGAAATGAGACTGAGTGGCTGGGTGGGGAGAGGATGGGCAGAGAGACCAAGGCTGGTCTGAGGAGCAATTGGAAAGTTAGGGATTCTCAGTGATGGAGGCAATACAAGGAGATTTACCTGTGTTTAAGTCACAACTCACCTGTTGTGTGAACTTGGGCAAACTTCCCCAAGCCTCAGTTTTCTCCTCTGTAAAGTGGGTTGGAATTGTACCAGCTTCCTGGGATCGTTGTGTAAATTAAGGGGGAAAATATCCAGAAATCGCCCAGCACACATAGGTGCTCCTTAATGTCACATGCACAAACCCATCACATGCAGCAAATCCAGAATGATCCAGATCCTCTGTTCAAACACTCTCATGCTGATCATGCTATCAGGGGGTAGTTAGATAAATTATTTAATGCCGTTTCTAAAGAGAAAATATTTCCAAGCATATTTCTGAGGGCAGAGGAATAATCAAAGAGACCCTTGTTTAAGTTAAGAGGTATGGTGCAACTCACCTAAGGTGAGTCAGAGGGAACACCAGGACTTGAACCTGAGGCCCAACACTGAGGGCATTTCCCTTTCACCTAACTGCCCTGGAGAAAGGATGGGTGGGCAGTGTTTGGCCCTTGATTTCTTTCTTTTTAAAAAAATATTTTTCATTGATTTTAGAGAGGAAGGGAGGAGACAGATAGAAACGTCAATGATGAGAGAGAATCATTGATTGGCCGCCCCTGTACACCCCACAACCTGGGCATGTGCACCAACCAGGAATCGAATCGTGACCTCCTGGTTCATAGGTCCATTGAAACACACCGGCCCGGCTGGCCTCTGACTTCTGCCCCTTAGTTCCTTCTGCCCAGGTCCTAAGGCTTTTAAAATAGCTTCCAGGCGTTTGGCTTACTTCCAGAAGTCCACCTGGGCTGCTCCGCAGGGGCTGTCCGGGGAACCCCTTCTATGTGAGGCAGATGTGAAGGGCGTGGGTGTGGGAAGGCTCCTTGGAGATGAATCAGCGCTGCCTCCTCCAGGGTAAGTCAGGTGCAGGGCATGGCAAGGGCTGGTCTACAGGAACAAGAGAAAGGGAAAGAGAGCAAGGAGAAGCTTGTAATGACATATCGCAACCACCAGGGGGCATGAATCATGTAGGCAAAAAACCAGCAGCTGCTGGTGGAAAATCTCTGGTGTGTGTGTGTGTGTGTGTGTGTGTGTGTGTGTGTGTGTGTGTATGTGTGTGTTGGACAGACTGTGAGGACCCGGCTTCTTAGGCTGGGCGGCTTCTTAGGCTGGGCATGGGCAGAGTCATTCTGGGAATATGCCACTGCCTGCCTTCGTGGAGAAGTGGAAAATCAAGAGGGGGATTGGGTTTTAGGGTTGGCTCTATTCAACCTTCCGGTTCTGCTGAGGGGAGGGAGTGGCTCCAGATCACACAGCGAGTTAATGGCAAATTAATGTGATCGTCACCAGTCTCAGTCACATGGCCACTTGATGGGCACCCTTTGGCTTCCATTTCTAGGTTAGGGACAAGTCTCTAGATGGGGCTTTAGGAATCAGTGGCTCTGCTTCTGTCCGTCAGGATGTCTGTCTGTCTCTCTCATCTTATTTCCTTCTCCCTCACGTTTTCTTTGTTACTGTGACTATTTTCCTCTGATCTTTCCTCCCAGTTTCCATCCGACTGCCTCTGTGTTTCTCCTTCCTGTCTCCATCTCTCCCTGATGGGAGTTTGCTCATTGGTCCCTGGAGTGAGATGTTTCCTGCAGTCTCTCCTCGGGGGGTTGTAGCTCTCTGACGCTCTGGTTTCCAACCCAGTGTCCCAGTCTCTTCTCCTGGGAACCAGAAAAGAAACTGTGACTTGGGAGCATGACTTGAGGAGGTCAGAAGGCCTCCAGCCTCCTAAATACTGTCCCTAGTGCCCCCTCCCCCATTGCCACGCAATACCTATAAACACGGGTTGGCACCTGGTGTGGGAGAAGCCCTTTGCTCATGCAGAAATGAGTAAGACCCAGTCCCCGCCCAGTGAGCTCACCGTGTGGGGGTGAAGGCAAGAGAAGACAAGTGATCCCATCTAGAGAAGAATGCTCTAAGCACACAAGGACAAAAGGAGTGCTTTGTATGAGAAAGAGCAGGTAGAGATAGGATCTGGTTGGGCCTAGGGAAGCCTCTAGGAAGTGGTGGCATGTTACTGGCCTTTGGAAGATAGGTGGGATTTCCACAGGGTCCCTGTTTACACTCTGAGCAGAGGGACCAGAATAAAAAGAGGGTTTCAGCCACACCCTGTGCAGTCTACCTACGTCCCAGTCACCATGAGCAAGACCGTTAGGGTATGTGCAAGAGAGACTAGAAAGCTGGTGAGGACGAGAGCCTGAGCACCTCCCTGCTGGGCTTCATGGAAGGCGAGGGGGACACCACTGTGATTTCCGAGCGGGAGAGGCATCTGCGAAAGCCCTCAGTGGAAATGGGAGAACCGCTGAGAAAAACAATGCACTGCACCTGCTGAGCACAAAAGGGTCGGGAGGCTTGGGGTAGAACTAGAGGACAAAGGTTTGTTCCAGGGTCTTAGGATTTGCAACTAGAAAACACAACGAGGCAATCTCCCGAGTGTTCCGAAGAAGAAAGCAGAGCTGAGAGTTCCAATAGGAAAAAGTACGCTCTTGAGAACAATCAGTCCTTCATTCTTAGCCTCTGGATTGGCCTGGGACAACAATCTTCCAGAGGTTCAGTGATCTGGATAATGGCTGTCAGATGAGCTGGATGCATGGACATTCTTTCCTATGTTTTTTATTCTTTCCTAAGTCCTTCAGAAGGCTGTCTGTAGGAATGTATTTGTCTCCAGGCATTGAGGCACAACTGGAAAGTTCAAAAGTGAAAGATGAAACAGGGGCCGGAGACTGGGATCAGGACACAGGCTTTGTTGAAGGAGAATACCACTGCCGGCTGCCTTCCAGAGGGGAGAGAGGAAGAGGGCCGGGTGCAGGCACCTTTTAAGGGGAGGAAAGGGAAGGGACGGGGCTTAGGGCACTCAGCACACGCTTTTTGGTGGTTTGATGGCAGTATTTCCCAAACTTCTCTCATGATGAGAATCACCTGGTGGAGTTGTTGAACTACAGATTCCTGAATCCCAACTAAGAAGTGCTAAACTAGAATTTTTGGTAACATATAGGTAAAATTGTATACTTAAGTATACAATTCCACCAGGTGATTCTCATCATGAGAGAAGTTTGGAAAAAACACTGTTTAGGGACCTAGGGACTTGGGAATTGAGGGCTTAGGGTATTTGGCAGGTGCTGATTGGTGGTTCAAAGTACAGTCCATATAAGGTGCCTTGTTAGGTGCTCAGGAATGTCTGGCTGCAGGTGGAGTTTACGTCATTCTCTGTCCATCAGTTGGAGGAAGGGAGGATCTATCAAAAAGCTTAAGTCCTCAGGCTTTTTAATTTTTTAAAAATTTTTATTTTATTGATTTTTCACAGAGAGGAACAGATAGCCAGAAACATCAATCAGCTGCCTCCTGCACACCCTGCACTGAGGATGTGCCCGCAACCAATGTACATGCCCTTGACCTGAATCGAACCTGAGACTCTTCAGTCCGCAAGCCGAAGCTCTATCCACTGAGCTAAACCAGTTTCAGCGTCCTCAGGCCTTTTAATCTTATCCCTTATGCTTCAGCCCATTTGGTCTGAACCAGTTTTGTCAGCTTGACTATAAACAATTGATTTTAAGTCAGCTTAGCTGTACTGACTCCATGTTGTTTTCTTTCTTTCCTTTTTTTGTTTTGTTTTGTTAATCCTCACCTGAAGATACTTTCCCATTTATTTCTAGAGAGTGGAAGAGAGAGGGAAAGTCACAGAGAGAAACATTGATGTGAGAGAGACACATTGGTTGCCTCCTGCACATACCCTGACCAGGTCGGGACGGAGAGGAGCCTGCAACCACAGTACATGCTCTTGACCAGAATTGAACCTGGGACCCTTCGGTCTGCAGGCCAACACTCTATCCACTGAGCCAAACTGGCTAGGGCTCCATGTTTTTTTCTTCATTCATTCCTCACCCCATTACACTGAGGTGAAGGATTTTTATCCCAAGCTCTATGTGAACAGGAAGGGCAGTAGCATGGGAGGTTCAAGTGTGTTGGGGGAGGAGGGGACACTAGATGTGCAAGGTGTAGAAGAGGACATTTGGCTCCAAGGCATGACACTATCTGTGGTGCCCATAGAGCCCCCAAGGACCAAGGTGATCCCGAGGAAGAGACAAGTCTGGCTTCATATCTGAGCCTAGTCAGTTTTCAGTTTGAACTTCTCCAAATTTCTCTGTGGTGTGGCAATCCAGAGTCCCGCAGGGTTGGCCACTGAAGGGTCCCTGTACCACACTCTCCTTCCTGGTACAGAGTTTCCGCCTGCTGCCCAGGCCCTGGGGGTGGGGTGTGGTGAGGGTGCTCCTGAGTCACTGCCTGGGCATCTGGGCTTGCACCGCAGGGTGAGTCACCTAGGACTGGGGGGAGTACTGGGAGGAGGTTGGGAGCTGGGGGGAGGGCAAGAAGCTGCTGGACATCTGGAGGGGGGAAGGGAGCTGGGCCTGCAGGAAGGGCGGTGCCCAGACTGGCAGGAAGGGCGGTGCCCAGACTGGATTGGGGATAGACCAAGAGCAGCAGGTGAAGTGGGCCTGGGAGGGGGCAGCTTTCTAAGGGCGATCCCAGATTGCTTCTCTCTCTCTCTCTCTCTCTCTCTCTCTCTCTCTCTCACACACACACACACACACACATTCTCTCTCTCTCTCTCTCTCTCTCACACACACACACACACACACACACACACACACACACACATTCCCTCTCTCTCTCTCACAAACACTTTCTCATATCCCAGTGGGCTTGTGAAGTCCAGTGTGTGCCTACACCCCGTGACACATGAATGAGCTGTGACTCACAGGCATGTCATGAGAACAAGGCCTGGTATGAGTCTCCAGGCCCCACAAACAACGGCTATCTCCCCTCACCCTGGGCGTAGGCTGTCCCTTTCCGATGACACCCCCCTTCCCACCCCCCTGTGGCCCGGGTGGGCCCAGGAGCTGCCATTTGAACCTGGAGCCCTCCTCCCTCCAGCTGGGGGCAGAGCTGAGAGTCTCTGAGGGGGAGGGGACCAGGTGGGAGGGGGAGGGGTTGGCTGGAGGCCAGGTTTGGCTGGATCAGGTTAAGGCAGGTTTGGTTTCCTGAAAACGCCTTGTCCAGGGCCAGTGAAGCTGGCATATAAATCCCCACTCCGAGCACCTTGCCCTTTGCTTTCCTTCCCGGTCTCTCTCGCAGCCTGGTCTGGTGAGTACCTGTGTGGCACTGAGGGCTGGGTGGAGAGGACTCTATGGGCCTCTGCCTCTGTCCCTTTGTCCTGATCTTTTCCCTACGGTTTTCTTTTTCTGGCTTCCTTAGATCAGCCTGAGGCCTCTCTGCATCTTTCCCATGGTGGGGAGAGGGGTGTTTCTTCTGTGAAGTGTCAGTTTGATTTCTACTTCCCCAGTTCCTCTGTGAGGTCCCAGTTTAGGGGTTATTCTGAGGTCCTCTCTTGGGTTTTAGTTGGGGGTCCCCTGTGGGTCTCTCAGTCTAGAGGCCCTTCTTGGAGGTCTAGGCCTAGGAGTGTGAGGGGTGTGTATGTGGGTGCTTTAACCGGAATCCCGAGTTTTTTGTTTTTTTTTTTTGTTTGTTTTTTTTTGTGTGTGTGTGTTTTGCAAAGTTCTGGATTGTAGCCGGAGTAAAGAGCAGGAGCCAGGAATCTCAAGTGTGTGGGCCCGCTGGGGTCTGCCCTGAATAGCAGCGTAGCTCTGCCCACTACAGCTTCCTGTCTTTTCCTGCCCCGTTACCTGCAAGCTGGCAGGATTGATCCGGGTTGGGTTTTTTTTTTTTTTTTTTTTTTTTTTTGCCTCTCTTCCCAGCTCTTCTGGCCTCATCCTGGGATCTGCCTAACCCTCGTGGGCTGGTCTGAGCATTTTCAGAGGCAGGGCTTTGGGAAAAATGACCTCTGAGGTCTGTCCTTCTGTCCTGGATTCTACCCTAGTGTTTGCCCTGATCCCAGGGCAGTGGACTTTAATTTCTTTAGTTCCAAACCCAATGGTATCCTCCCTGATGGGGAGGGTGTTTATGCCCTGTCTGCAAAGAGCCAGTACCCCAATAAGAAGAGAGACATATTCCTTAACCTCTAAGAGTACCTAGTATGAGGGAGACATCATTTCTGCTTGAGGGAGCGTCCACTTATTTTTGTTGTTGTTGCTTCCACTTATTTTAATTAAAAACATTTTAAAAATGTGTTTAAAAAAATTATTTCAGAGAGGAAGGGAGAGGGTGAGAGAGAAACATCAAAAATGAGAGTCATTGATTGGCTGCCTCTTGCACGCCCCCTACAGGGGACTGAGCCCACACCCAGGCATGTGCCTTTGAGGAGAATTGAACCGTGACCTCCTGGTTCATGGGAGCTGAGCCAGGCTAGTTTTTTTTTTTTTTTAAATTTTGTAAAGTATGTCTTTATTTAATTTATTTATCTTTTTATCTTTATTGTTGAGAGTATTACAGATGTCCCCCTCTCCCCCCTCCCATTACCTCCCTCCACCAGTTCTGCTCAGGCTCCAGGCCTTCACCACCCTATTGTCTGTGTCCAGGGGCAATGCATACATGCATAAATTCTTTGGTTAACCTCTTCCCCCGAACCCCTGGGCCCCTTCCCTCTGAGATCTGTAAGTGTGTTTATGTTTTCAGGACTCTGGTTCTATTTTATTCACCAGTTTATTTTGTTCATTAGACTCCAGGGAGAGTGACATCCTTTGGCCTTAGGAGCCCCACCTGAGGACAGAACCAACTCCTCAGGGAACCTTGGACCGCTAGGCTGTAGCCATAGTTACTGCCCTCGTCAAGTGAATCCCCATTAACTGGCTCAGGGATACATCTGTCACCCCAGTGTAGACACAGAGTCCACTGGCCTGGGAAGGAGCCAAATGGGACTCTGGTCACCCTGTCATTTCCCTTTCCAAAGACACTCATGGTGGGGAGCCCTCCCTCAGGGTATGTCCCAAGGGTGATCAGAGGAGAATGAGGCTCTGCCCTTGGTGACTTCCAAACACAGGGGAAGGGTTAACATCTGCCCAGGGAGCCACAGTCTGAGGGGGCCAGGCAGCCTCTGCCTGCTCATTCAGAGGGGGATTGGGAGAGGTAGTTTGGGGCACAAGGGCAGAAATGGGTCCTGCAGGCGGTGCTGAGGCATCTCCAACACCTGTCACTTCTTTGGCCCCAGATCCAAAATGTCCAGTCCCCTGGAGCAGGCGTTGGCTGTGATGGTCGCCACCTTCCACAAGTACTCTGGCAAGGAGGGTGACAAGTTCAAGCTGAGTAAGGGGGAGATGAAGGAACTTCTGCAGAAGGAGCTGCCCAGCTTTGTAGGGGTAAGTGGGGCTGGCTGAGGGTGGGAGGCTCCTGTGTGTGTGAGAGTAGGGGCACCAGTTAAATCTATTCTTCCTCCCTCAGTGTGCCTGCTGATGCAGACACCAGGGTGGGGCCGGGCCCTTCACCAACTTACTGGAGTGTGAGTGATGCCCACGTGTGAGAGCCCTCTTATGAGCTGTTCCCTGCAGCTTTCCAGAGAATGGGTGTGCTGTCAGTGTCTTCAAAGTCCATTTGTTCAACCCCCTCATTGGAGAGGTGAACAAACCAAAGCCCAGAGAGGGAAAGTGGCTGGCCCAAGACCACACAGATATTTCTCTCTCTTGTTTTTAATATTTATATGCCAACCTGAGGTTTGTTGGGGAGAAAAGTCCAGTTAAGACATGCACCCTGAGGCACTGGTAGAGAAATGCAGTCAACTTTCAATTTGCCCCTCCCACTCCCCATACCAACTACTGGATAATCCCAAAGTCAGGTCTCGGGCTCTGAACTTTATGAAGCAGGTTTTACATTCCTTTAAATATTTTTTTCTGGGTCCAATTTTTAAAATTTGATCTCATGTTGACTGGCGTTAAAAAGAGCTTGTCTTTTCTGAATTCTCCTTGCTGGTGATGGAGAGTGGCTCCAATAGCTCTAGTTTCTTCGTCAGCAAAACGAGGCTGATGATGCCCCTCTCGCCTGGCTCCTGTGGGGAGTAGAGCTTATCCTGTACTTAGGGGGTGCCTGGCGTGCTCCCCGTTCCCAGCAGGGAGAGCTGAGGGCTCCCACCAATGAGCATCCATCTGTCCTCCCTCATGGGCCTCTTCATAGTTCCCAGGGACTCTGCCACCACTTACTGCTGCCCAGTTTGAAGGGACAGCTGGGCTCTGGCCAATGAGTGTGTGTTTGGGGCAGAGGTGGGGTGGAGAGCGGCCTGGCGATGACCCATTCTATCTTGCTTTCAGGAGAAGGTGGATGAGGAGGGCCTGAAGAAGCTGATGGGCTCCCTGGATGAGAACAGTGACCAGGAGGTGGACTTCCAGGAGTATGCCATTTTCCTGGCCACTATCACTATCATGTGCAACGATTTCTTCCAGGGCTACTCAGCCCGGCCCTGAAGCAGAGCTCTCTGCTCCCAGCCGTGGGCCTCTTGGGCCCAGGAAGACTCTCCTTTGTAGTTTTGTACTCAATAAACCTTTGTTCCTTTGTTTATTGTTGATAATCATTTAATTGCTCAGTGGTGCCCTGTGACCTGGCTGGCAATGTTGGAAACTGAGGGCCTCCTAGATCTCCTTTCTGGGCCCTGACCCTCCATCTAGAATTCTCTCCGGAGCTGTGCCGTAGGTCACACACTTTGGGGTTTCAAATACCAGTAAATATTTGGAAATTGAAATAGTTTGCTAACATAAAACATTTTTGATTTTACAGATAAAGAAGGGGGGAAGGAGAGAGGGAGGGGGAGAGAGAGAGACATTGGTGTGAGAGAGAAACA